TGTTTCCATTTATTGTCATTTGGCCTCTCTCTCCTGACACTCTTCCTCAAATACAGGCTTTTGAGTTTTTCTGTTGTTTTTCCTATGACCTCGTTAAGCCTTTAGCTTAGGGAATTTTTGAACACAGATGCTAAAGACCCTGAAGATAAGAGGCCCTTGTTCTCACCCACACAAAAACTGGCAAGTGTCAGGGGGTGCTGCGGGCCTGAAGGGATTTTTACTCACAGACATGCACTAAGGGGACCCAGAATGTTAAGCACAGAGGGTTGTTTCTTCAAGGAAAGAAATGCAAAACTTGTTTTCCATCAGAAGGCTGGAGTGGCCGGGCTTTCTAGCCTGGTGACCTTGTTACAATCTGTGTGGTCAAACACTTTCTGGCACTAGATCCTGTTCCAGCCCCATTCTCACAAACTCTTTTTTCCCAGTCAATCTATAGAACCCATCCTTATGGAAGGTGTCACATGTACCTTACAAAGAATTTCAATGTAGTCATATCTCATTTGTATCAAGCTTACTCCTCAAAGAGATTTGAGTATGCAATTGTTGTATTGGCAAGGTTGATTTAATCATCTCAAGGATGGTCCTCACCAGATTGTGTTGTGTTTAAATACTCCTAAAATAGATAACTCTGGATCAGGCTCTCAAAGTTTGAACCAACACTGGGTACTGAGTGGTATTGTGCTGAACTGCCCTTTTGTCTACCATGGCTCGGCATTCTGCTGCCCATGAAGGTTGCTTGCAGAGAGAGACCTTGTGCTGGATAGTTGTATGTCAACTTGATACAAGGTAAAGTCACCTGAGAGGAGGGAATCTCAATTAAAAAAAAAAATGCTTCTCAGCCCTCTGCTGAGAATCAATCCATCTTTCCCCTTACCTACTTCAACAGAAGAACTTCATCTTCCTCCTTTATACTCCCCTCCTGCGTGTCTTCAACCTCAACCAGCTATTGTGTACCAAGGTTGCAGAAGAACTGAGGAGCAGGGTCTCATGCTGCAGGGGATACAGCGAGTATGAAAGACCAGAGGACAGCTTGTTGATTAAAATAGTGAGGCTAGTTTATATAGCTTAAGTCAAGGGAAAGGGAAGAAAAAAGACACGGGGGACCTGCCATAGCAGAGGCAGGGGCCTTACAAGTATATCAGCACAATTAGCAGACTGCCACCCCTGTGATTTCTGAGAAGCCAGTTCTTTGGTGGGGAAACAGCAGCTTAAGTGGCTTTATCATGACATGGTCTTTGTCTCTATGGAGTTGAGTAGGTCCAAACCTGATTTGGGTAGAGAGCAGCCCCACTCCTTCTGTGCTCTATGAGAGATGTCCAAGTATGGGCAATGCTCTACCATCCTTTATCTGGCTTGGGAACTCACAGCTACCCCTTCGATTTTTATAATGGGGCTATGTGTTGGCATACTCTGTGGGACTAGCTTGATATTGTAGCAGTACTTGGTTGATGGTGACTTTCTCTACTTGTTTCTTTGAGAAAGTGTATAAGATATGGGGTAAGAAAGAGGAAGGCTCTGATGCCCATCAAGGGCAAGAGCCAGGCGATTTGGGGAGGGGGCTTTGGAGTATCAGGGGTCAGGGTCATTGAAGACCTATTGGGACCTCAAATTATTGCAGAGGTCATGAAGGATCTTAATATTTTTGTTTAACCAATTCCAATTCATTTACATAGAAATGACATTTCTCCCCCAAGAGGCCACAAGTTCCCCGCCCCTAACTCTTGTGTTGTCAAAAGGTCCAGAGTCCTTCTATTTTGTAGTACAACTCCAGCAAACGTGATTATTTGTTGTTGGAGGGCATCCAGGCTATCTGAGGTGGCTGCCATGGAGTGATCTATTAGCAATATGAACTAGAGTTTTCTGGCCGATATCAATTAATCCAATTATTGGCTTCAGGAAGTAAGGCAGAAGAATGGCTTTGCTTGGCAGAATGGAACTTCCCTCCCCCACCACTGAGGACTTTTATAAAATAGATACTGATGCTAAAAATGCTTGTGGTGAGTTAAGGAATCATCTCTCTGCTCTGATGCCAAAGTCATTCCCACGAACAATTAACTGGTCCAAAACAATACAACAGTATAAAATAACACCAAGGAAAGCTGCCTGACATCTATGTCAGGTTTTCAAAAACATTTAATGAGTGCTCAAGAATTCTCCCTAAGAACATTGAGGGTCACAGAAGTGATGTCTTGTTCCTGTAACTTGGCTATGATCTGCTTTGTGGGGAGGGAGGTTTGTCTTCATGTTGTAGGTATGTACCCTGGAATTGCAGCATCCCCTACAAATTAATATTTCCTTCAGGATGGAAAGGGAGACTCCCTCCCCACGGGTGGTAAAAAGGAGGTAAGCAAAGGTCATGCCTGAGAATAAGAATATTGCTGAAGGCCCCTACCCAGCAGTGCAGGCAGGAGTGACAGTGTCTGGGGACTTGCTTAGACTGTAGAGCTGCCCACAAGCTGAGATGCAGGGGCTTGGGACTCATCATCCGTGTTAAGTGGACTTTCTAGTGATGCAGCTGCTTTTGTATTATCACTGTCCCTTATAAGTAACCCCTCATCCATACTCATGTTATTCTAATAAAAGCTCATTACTTCACCAAATAGGCCAATGGTACAACCATTACTCTAGGTTAGTGTGAGCTCCTTTCTACAATGAGTGAATTTTCTGTATTTTTTTTCTCCAAATCGTCAAAAGTTTTATATAGAGAGTCACTGTTGCCTCTCAAAATTGGTGAATCAGGATGATCAAATGCATTTGTCTCCTTGAGCATGTAAGATAGTTCACACCATGGGCTTTTAGTACTTTCCAAGCTTCTAGGAGAGGTTTCAGTAGCTGGAGAGACTTCAGAAACTGTAGGTGTTGGCAAGTTGGAAAGCTTCTTCCAGATATTTAAAACAAAATCATATACTTCTGTTGCTATAGAACCACTTCTGGTACCGGAATCGACATTAGTTAGGATTCTCTAGAGAAGCAGAACTGATATAATCTATTTCTATCTATCTATCTATCTATCTATCTATCTATCTATCTATCTATCTATCCAATAGCTAGATTCTCTCTCTCTCTCTCTCTCTCTCTCTCTCTCTCTCTCTCTTTCTCTCTCTCTCTGTCTCCAACAGAAAGTTCAAGAGTCCAGTAATTGCTCAGTCCACAAATCTGAATGTCTCAGCTGGTCTTCGTTATATGCTGGAATTCTGTAGACATGGGCTCCATGTCGGTGAAGACAGACTTACCAGTGAGAGCAAGCAGGAAAAGAGAGCAAGCTTCCTTCTTCTGTGTTCTTTACATAGGATGCCAGAAGAAGGTGTGACCCAGATTAAAGGTGGATCTTCCCACCTCAAAAGATCTGAATTAAAAGTGGATCTTCCCACTAGAACTTTTTCTTTCCATTTTATTTCCATTCTATGTGGTCTCTTTTCACGTCCCCTCTTTGTCCCTTGGTCAACAGGACATGAAGATCTAGTTCAGTAAACCTATACCAGACTAGAGAGGACTCACTGTTCCTGGGAGTATCTCTAAGGAGTTATCTTTCTTAGAGTGTCTGCTAAGTTGGGTGATGGTGGTTGGAAGAAGGAAGAAACATCCATAAAAGTTTCCCTTGCAGGATGAATAACTTCTCTGTTCCTTCTCACGTTAGCTAAGTGGACACACTGAGAAGTGGGGAGCTGGGGGTGGCGTGAGAGAGGAAAGAAGGCATGTCTGCCTCACCATTCATTCTGGGGACACACCTGACACTAAGGGGCTCCTTAGTGTGACGGTGTTTCTTCTATGTACTCAGAACATGAAGCATCTTTCATGTCAAGTTATTTTCCATCAGGGAAAAGAGAAAACAGCAATCAGTTAAGGTTGAAGTTGTAGCATGGTGGTAGCATAGTTGTTTAGCATGCACAGAGGCATTAGATCAATTCCTACTATTACATAGAAATCAAACAAAAGCTCTCAAAAAAATCAAAATAACAACAACAACAAAAACCAAAATCCAAAAACCCAGACTATATGTCCAAATGAACAACTGAGAATTCAGATACAGCAGAATAAGGATAGGAAAAACCAAGGGAGAAGTTTTCCCAATCAGGTCAGAGGAACAGGTGGAGACCAAGGGTTGGCTTTTAAAGCCCATGCTCTGTCTTCATTGTATCTGGTTGTACGTACAAGATTCAGTATATCCGCCTTTCTGGGAATCAGCGTCCATTCTATATTTCTAGAAGTTGTCCTAGGGCTATAATAGAGTAGACTGGGTGACAGTGATGTCTGTTGAGTGTGTTGGTCCCTCCAGAAAAGGAGAGTATAAGGATCAGAACATCAGAGACAAGCTCTTTAGAGGTAAGCTCAGCCCCTCCTCCCTAGTTTGGCTTATGGGGGGTCCCAGAAAACCAGCACCCAGCCAAAGTGGTAAACTCTCTTTGGATGTGGGCTTGGGGAATGGACAGAAATAGCCACAATGACCACTTCCTTCACTGTGAAACACATTTCTGCCCAAGCCCTGCTAAGTGTGGGCAACTAGAGTGTGTAGGGCAGTCCAGGTTGGGAAGAAATTCGCCAGAGGTTCCTGGGCTCACTCAGAGCTTCATCCAGATTTCTCGCCTGGTGCTTGTCAGGGCTGATGCTTCTTATCATGAATACTGCACTGTGGAAGGTTTTGGGCCTAGGCCCTCTTTTGTCCACCCTTCTACTGGCGTTTGCAGGTGAGTCTGGGCCATGGAGAGTCTTGGACATGCAGGAGAGTGCTCAGAGGTAGCAAAATCCTGTTTTCAACAGTAAGCTGAGTCGGAAGGTTTTTCCTGGGCTGATTGTACCTTTTTCATACTATAGATAAAGGGAGTTAGTGGGACCTTCGGGATCAAAGGAAGACCATGTGACATGGAGGGAGGGCTAGGAGGCCTGGTGATAAGGAACTAGGTATAGAAGAATACATATTTTGGCATGCTCTTGCACATTGGTTCCTCCAACCCTGAGAAGATAGAGTAACTGTTTGCTTTGTATTCTTTGTTTTGTTTCAGTTGGGAAGCCTTTCATCTCCCTGAAGGGCCCAGATCAGAGGACAACCCCTTCCAATTTAGTGGATTTTCTCTGTACTGCTGGCCCTTTCAGCTCCAGGAACCTCAGTGTCAACTGGTTGAAGAACAACAATGAACATTTAGCCTCAGCCCCACACTTGGTATCTGTCAATGAATCTTACTCTGTCACAAGCAAGGCATGGGTGACCTTGACCAAGGAAGATATCTTGTCTCAGATCACCTGTGAAGTCACCCATGGAGACCTTGACGAGCCCCTAAGAATGACCATTAATCTTTCTCAAGTGGTCCGAGGTGAGTGATCAGTGAAATATGTGTTGGGGCCACACTGGAGACATGGAGATTTTACCCAAAGCACCACTTTACAAATGGGGAGCAGAAATTGATCATTGCCAGCCTTGAACATATGAATATGTATTAAAAATACAGGCTCCATGGGCTGCCCAGTTGGGTTTTGGCCTTAGCTGTGTCATAGGCTGCAGAATATTGGCCTCGTGTCTTAAATATTCTGTACCTCAGTTTCCTCATGCCCCCCAAAATGGAATAAAACTAACACCTACTTTGTAAGTTTCCTCTGAGGATTAAACCAGTTGTTCCCGCCAAAACACTAAGAACTACACCTAATCTTACATTGTAAGATGTTTAGGACTGCTTAGCTTTGCTATTATATGGCCCTAGCATTCCTCTCCGATCACACGTGTTTTGTTTATATCATTGTTAATGTTTTAGGATTTCTAAATATTTATTAGTTGGACCTGGTGTATAGGGCGTGTGATCTCAGCTCCTTGGGAAGCCAAGGCAGAATATAACAATTTCTAGACTCTGTGAGGATTAAGATTGAGTTCAAGGCTAGTCTGAACAATTTAGTGAAATAAAATAAAACAAGACGAAACAAAATAAAATAAGTGAGAGAGGGCTGAGGATGGATGTCAGTGGTGGAGTGCTTGTCTTCTATGAATGAGGTCCTGAGTTCTGGGAAACCTTCAGTATTGAGTAAAATATTCTCTCAGTAAATAATGAACAGCCGCTATGTGCCAGGCCCTGCTGCAGTGCTGTGATTATAGGGTCCCTGCTCTTCTGGGGCAATTCACCTTAATAACTCTTACAATTATATATCACAATATGGAATATTTAAAAACTCAAATCAGATTAGATATCCATATGTCTCCAGTTATATTTCATGAATATTTATACTTATCCCTATTTGTCTTACATAGAAAATCGTATAAAAATTATTCATTTAAAAAACAAGTGAACTCATGATCTGTCTTCACTCGTGAATTCAGAGTAGCTGTTCAGGAATTGCACAAGATCAAGTCACTTGACATTCAAGGATGAAATGGAGGTCCTCAGAAGCCCCTGCCCCATAGCTGTAGCGCTCCGGACAGCTTGATTCTGAAGGAATGAGAGGGAGTTTTCTTGAAGGGCCTGGGCCTGGTAGGTCAAGCATACTCCAGTATCCCACATCCATGAGGATATAGGCAGCACAAATTAGACTTGCTGGATCATAAGACAAGAAAAGAGGGGCTGAAGAAATGTCTCAAGGGAAGTAGAAGGATATGATGTTCAGGATCATCCGCCAATCAACCAACTAATCAATCAAAAATCAATCAATCAATCTGAGAGACCCTGAGACAGGTATAGGTAAGTCAATGCTAAGAGTTTCCTTAGGCTTACTTTTTGTGTCTGTCTAGTTATCCCCACACTGAAGATCACCAGTGAGCCCCCGGAGATCCAAGGTCATGCACATCAAAGAGTGAACCTGACTTGCCATGTAAACCACTTCTATCCCCAAGACATGCACCTCATCTGGGCTAAGAATGGGCACAAAATCCTGACCGTGGAGCTCCCTCAGGCCACCAAAAACTCTGATGGGACTTACTCTCTACAACACATGTTACGGGAAGATGCCATATTGAATGAGACTGACTTTGTCTGCTGGATGATCCAAGATGACCATCCTCCAGTTGGGGACAGCATCACCCTGGGAGCTTCCAGGAAGGTTGAAGGTATGTATCTTGTTTCCTTCATGTGCTCCTGGCATTGTGGCCAAGGGCTAGAAACTCGGGGAACCCCTGAGTGAACGTGGAGAAAGGAAGCCCCCTTCCAGTGAGGATGCTCCCGCTCGCAGAGTCACCCCTGCTACACGCCCTTTCTTCCAGATACTTCCACCAAGACATGAGTCTCCTTTGCTGCACTCATACTGCAATTTTTTTCTCCTTAACCATTGGTTGCAAGAAATTGCCACAGTTAGGATAGCTGGCCTCCAGATAATTTCTGAGAAGGCAATTAATCAAGACAGTGAATTCAGCTGGATGTTTCTAAAAATCAACTTTGAAGAGACCCAGAATTGTTGACACACACACACACCCTTAGCTAGGAAAAGGAGTCACACAAGATAGGTGTGACTTCCCCTTGTCATCTCCTTCTCTTTCCTCATTTTACTTTTTTTTCTATGCACACATACTCCTGATGGTAACTTCTTCTGTTTCTATTCCATTTCACACGTTCATGATTCGTACTACTTCCCCACAAGAGGGCACTGTGACATTGCAATCTAGAACTTTCTCGGGTCTCTGTCCCAGCTATGCTTCATACTCTGACAAGTGCAAGTGCACAGTCAGGGACAACAGATAGAATAATAGGTCAGGCATAGGCAAGCCTATGTAAGGCAGTGTGTAGGCTTTTCCTTACCGTGCATGAAGACTTTGGGTAGCTTTGAGAGAAAAGATGGAGATGCCAGGCAACCAAACAGCCCATTCTCATAGCAAGCCTCCACCTTTTCTTTCTAGTTCTGTGGCAGAACCAGCCCTTTTCTGATTGCTATAAGAATTCTCAGAGGTATTAATCCCATTCACCTTTAAATTTCTTTGGGTCCTATTTTTGTTGTCCAGTACAAATAAAAAAAAAAAAACTATCCGGCCAATGGGACATACAGACCTGGGTGGTAAAATCCAAACGGATGGGTGCCTTTTGATGGGAAGCAGGTTGCATACTTTTTATAATTTTTTATCTTATTATTATTGTGAGAATTGTATACACTGCTGCTGCATTTACTTCACTCCACTCTGCGCTCCTCCTGCGGCTCCTCCCACGTCTCCGCATTCCCTTTCAACTGCACACCTCTTTGTTACTGTCATATATGCATGTGTGTGTGTATGTATACCTATATAAATGTGACCTGCTAATTAGCTCATACTCTGGTGTTCCTTTTCTGTCTTACTTTCCCCCTACACCTGCACTCAGTATATCTGACCTGTCACTGGAAGGTGGACCTCATGACTGCATGGCATCAACAGTGCCAGATACCACAGGGTCTCCTGGGATTGCTCTCTCTCTCTCTCTCTCTCTCTCTCTCTCTCGATATCAAGGTCTCTTTCTGTTTAATATTAACATATCTTTGTAGCTATAGCAAGATTTCCCAAATCCCTTTATCCAGCACCCTGACTCCTGAATACATCTATTCACACACCTGTTCTACTTGGTTAGTATCCTCAGAGAACTTAATGCATAGTAGGCATAGAACACTTACCACATATCACCCATGGAGCACTTACTGCATATCAGCACCCATGGAGCAC